CCTTAGATAATTGTAACACTTTACCTTAAAATGATAACAAAATGTGGATTTTTAATAAGGATATTGTAATGTTAAATTTAAAACAATCTTATTCTGACATTGGGGATTCAAGTATATGTATCATCTTTATCGTACTTATTTTCCCAAGACTGGATTAATGTCATAAGTGGGGTACCTCAGGGCTCAGTCTTAGAACGTTTGCTCTTTTTGACATAGATGAAAGAATGGTCAATCAATTACTTATGTTTGCAGAAGATATTAAGGTCTTGGGTGTTGCTAGCTGTGAAGAGGATGCTGCTGATTTACAAAATGATTTAGATAATTTAGTTTTTTGTACAAATAATTGGCAAATGGGTTTTAATTATAATAAATGCAAGATAATGCATGTGGGTTATCATAATTTGAATTATAAATATAATTTGGATGAGAATAACCTTAACAGTGTCATGAAAAAATATGAATCTTGGTGTAATAGTTGATCAGTCTCTAAAGTCATCCAAGCAGTGTGCTGTTGCTAGCGGTAGGGCAAATAAAATTTTAGGTTGTATCTACAGAAATATTGAATACAAGTCTAAAAAGGTTATAATTTCATTGTATAGGTCACTGGCTAGGCCACATTTGGAATATTGTGTTCAATCTTGAGCTCATTACCTTAGGAAAGACATCGAATTGTTGGAAAGAATTCAGAGAAGGGTTACTAGAATGATGCCTGGGATAGAGGGGTTGTCATACGATAAGAGGTTGAAATCTCTCAAATTGTTTTCTCTTGAAAAAAGAAGAGTTAGGGGGATCTGATTGAGGTATTTAAGATTGTAGAGGGATTTGATAGTGTTTATGCATCATCTTTTCATACTTAATAGTGAGAATAGTAGGACTAGGGACACAAATATAACTTCTGGCGGGGTAAGAGTCATTTTCAGCTAAGACAGTTTTATTTTTCTAACAGGGTTGTTGCCTTCTGATGTTGTAGAGGCAGTAAAGTTATGTGAGTTTAACAGACGGCTTGATAAATACATGAATGATAAGGACTGGCTTTAAGATTTTTTAAAATCTATTTATTAATAGTTTTAGTTTAGTTTAGAGAATGGAACAGCCGAGGTGGACCAATAGGTCCCATGTTATCCCAAAACGTTATGTTATAATTTAACTACCATTATAACAATTTTGGATTAAAACAAATTACGTGATCTTCAGCAGAATACATCGAATAGAGTGTAACTAAATTACACCCATACTTTAATTTTGCTAGAAATCTGTTCTGAGGTTAATAATATTTTATTGATAATCATTAACAATTGTGTTCTAATATTCCTTAGATAACACAGGCCTGCGAATTGAAACATCATAAACGTAGTTTTGGTTTTTATAACGGATTTTCCATAATGCAGATTTTGAAAATAATATTACTTTTTTTCTATCTCGTGAGGATTTGTTACAAATCAGGAAGAAAAACTCTTACTTAGATCAAATTATTATTTCGTTTACCACAATGAACATTCTTTATTATTATGTTTCTTAACAAAATACATAACAAACTGAACAAAATGGAAGAACATTGATAGCAAACGAAAAGGCATCGTCATTCATCTTGATTTTTTTGTGAAATCTATGTATTTTAGTCTCAAAACTACCTGTTGTGTTTTTTCTTTTATGTATTGAGGCTGGGGTATCTCATTTCAATGACCAGCAGTAATAAGCCATCATGCTGATGTTCCACCTTCTCTGATACCTCCTTTCCATTTCCCTGATGTCTTGATGAAACCTTTCCCCTTGTTTTTTGCTGAAAGCATTGAGATTTTCCGGGAAATAGTCAATATGTGAGTGTAAGAAATTAACTTTCAAGCTCATATTACAACCCAACTCTATAAATTTATCGAGCATGTTATTGACAATAGTTTCGTAAGTTAGGTCCTTGTTGTTTCCTAAAAATTTGTCAATAACATCTTTAAAGGCAATCCAAGCTTCTTTTTCAACTTTTCTCCCTGTCCTTTTAAACTGTTCATGTGCAGTCAATTTCCTAATCTGAGGCCCAACAAAAATCCTTTCTTTAAGTTTAGCTTTTGATAGAGCTGGGAATTGCCCACATAGATACTTGAAACAGTCGCCATTTTTGTCTAAGGCCTTTACAAACTCCTTCATCAGCCTGGTTTTATGAGAAGTGGAGGTAATAGGACTTTCTTTCTGTCAACCAAACTTTCACGTTCAATGTTTTTTTTATCCTGGTATCAGGCTGACTCTGTGTGGTCATTGCTTCTTTATCCAGTGCTGATTTCGTGCTGTGCTGTCCCATTCACACAAAAAAACATAGAAACTTTGTATAAACGGATTGTTGATCCAACAACATGAAAGGACTTTTAAGTCTCCACAAAGTAGCCAACCATGTTCTTTGTATTTGCCTTATTAAGACGAAGTTCGAGATTTTCGTACGTTTCCTTCAAGTGAACCAAATGAGCAATAGTAACAGATTCATATATGTTACCATTGTGAGGGGGAACACCTTTTAGACTTCATTTGGAGGAATCTTTGAACAATCGCTACTCACTTGATTCATAGACTGAAGCTCCTAGCATTGGTATTAATTCAACAATAATGTTGCAATAAACTAGTGAACCTTCTTGCGAAAAGTATGGTAAAAACTCTTTCTCATGATTTCTGTACCAGTAAAATGATGTCCCCGGAGAAAGTAAGTTCTTAGCCCAAAGACTGGACCCCAAAATCTCAGAAGAATTATTTGGAAGGCCCAAATCTCTCACCAAATCATTAAGTTCACCTTGTGTGAAAATTTGTGGTTCACCAGACGTTTCAGGTTGAAAACAATCCCTAACATCATTTCTATTGACATCAGATTTAAAATCAGATGAAATTGTATCATGAGTCTCTGATGGAGTAGGTACAGATACACCAGGTCCATGAATAACAGGTTTTATAGCAGATTGAAGGTTTGGATAAGTAATTTCATTTTTATTTCGAATGTTGTTGCCTTGCATGTTATATGAGTAAAAATAGCAGTCATCTCCGTGGTTTTTAAGCTCACCCCAGACCATTGGAATTCCAAAAGGCAAAGAATTTTTCTTACCTTTAGTCCATTGTCTCAACTCTTCGACACAAATGGTGCAAACTTTGTGTGGAGCCTATTGTTATGACAGCAGAAGTCGCGTGATGCTGGGAGCATGTGTGCTGGAGTTTCTGGAAGGATCATGAATTATCGGGGAGGCCAAGTTTGTTCAAGGTGCCCTCTTTTTTAGTATATAAGTCTGGCGAGAAAACCAGCACGATGGAAATAATTGACTGAAGAGAGAGAGAGAGATAATTGAGTCAAGCAAACAGTAGGCACCATAAGTAAAGTGTGTGAATCGCTGTGATTTATAGCATGTGTTATAAAGGTTGTTAAGTTTAAAATGACTGTGGAAATTCTGTATATTACTAAAAGTTGTATCAAGAAAGAATAAACTAGTTTTAATTAAGAAAGGACTTGTATCATCGAAGTTCCTCTGAAAGAATTTATACCGGAAATTAACAAACGAGCAAATACATAACACTATGATTTGTCTTGGTCCCCAAGTTTCATTCCAAAATACGCATAATATACTTTTTTGGCGAATTCTGTAATGTTTTGTTTTGGTTTCTTTACAACAAACTTACCACAAATATAAGAGAATACGTTTGAGTCATTTACATAACTTCTCGTTGCCATAGCAATGAATAAATAATATTGAAAAGAAAAACATAATGTCAGAGTGCATGCACAAACAAATACTATCCAGAAATAACACATCATGCGGCCTGTTAACCGTTTATATACTAGCGGTGAGTTTCTCGTGGGTTCTAGAACGATCGATAAGACTCTCACGTCGCGATTGGTCTAGAGAAATTTATAGCCAGTGGTTGTCAACATTTTAAGCATAACAAAATGTAACCTGATTTCAATTAAAATGATTCACTTATACCAAAGTACCTATGACGTTTTGTGAAAAATATGTACGTGATGGAGAAAAATGGATATCATTTTCGGATTCAGCTTACTGTAATTACTGGAGAACATGTAAAAAATTTCAAGACAATAAACCATCGCAGGCCTGTGTAAAATCAATGTCCACATGTCTATTTGTGTACCCGTGTAGCAAGGTGTTTCAAGTTTAATAAGATAGTGTCGTAATTTTAAAGCTTCAATAGTTTAATTTTTTTAACTTACCTAAAATAGGCTAAATGAAACGCAGAACTCTCTACTTCAGAATAGAATGTGGTGAAATTCTAAAATTGTCTTTTTTTTGTTTGTGTATTTTTTCTTACTTACCTATGTCGAGTAAATGAAAATGAAGACCTTCTACTTGCACAATATAATTTAGTGAAATCATAAAATTATGTCTCTTTGATTGTTTGGTGTTTTATCTTACATTATATAGAATCTTAGTAAAAGTAAAACTGTGAGAAGAGGATCTGGTAGGATTTTCTTTTTGTATATATTATTATTTTATACAATATGTGTTAGGCTTAAGATTAAGACGAAATGACAATTTAGTTACGTACTGGTAGTAGTATTACACTTGGCGATTAGGCCTTAAAGTTAAACAGTAGGTTATAACTTATACGTGATTTTATATAGATGTATTTGCATTAAAAATTCTCTTTTAAGTTATATTTTATTATCGTATTTGTGATAATTATCATGTACATGCACATTTATTTAAGATAATCGAAATGAGGTTGAGAATTTAATTACCCTGTTTTGGTTAACTTCGGCGTACTCAAGTTTTAGGCTTAGCGTACATTTCAGTCTTCAACTTCAACTTAACCTGTATGAAGAAAAAAGTGTACCTTCCGAAAGCATTAGGATTGTTTTGTTCTTTACGTTTAAGATTAAATTCCTTATTAAATTACTGATCCTACGTGATTTACTACTTAGTGAATGTCGTGAAGATGATAGTATAGTAATAGTATACTAATAGTAATACAATGACAGCAGTTAAATCCACATTAATCAATATACATCTGGTATCTCAGCTTACTGGTTTCCTTGTTTTAGTATATTGGTAATTTATTGATATCATTACATTTTACAATGTATATAGGCGTGTTGTTTAAATTATACAGCATGAAACTGTACCAATTGTGTATTAGCATTGTATTTATCATCTAACTTCTAAGTTGACACTGGGCATGCAGGGTTCTGCCAAGGAGGTTTTGAATACGGGATAATTCTCATGGGCAATACTGAAGCCATAAAGCTATACTAGAAGGATCTGGGGGGCATGTTAATTGAATCATATGTATAGAACAGTCAAAATTTACATAAAACTGATTTATTTTTTAATTTTAGCATCCAAACTAACCACATATAATGACTTAGATTGATGTTTGAGGGCTGGATACACCTGTTCTCCAACACCCACTATAAGCATAATACTGAGTGTGAGTACTCATAGAGTTTCCTTTAACTTGAGGGTATTGTTTTCACATTCCCATTGGATGGGATGGCAGTTCTTTCTAATTAGCTCTCAGTATTAGCTGGTACACATTTTATACTTGGGTAGAGCGAAGTAAATATTTGGGTAAAATGCCTTGAGGACACAATGAGTAAGTACAGGTAACCTTTGAACCCACACACTTTTGTCTACAAGTCTAAAGTGCTAACTGCTAAGTCATGCCAGCATTATTCTTACATAGAACCAGCATGAAAACCATTCCCAGTGTTATACCATTACATTTAATGTCTGTATTAACATTGAGGATGAAAACCTTGAGACTATCCATTTTATGTGGGAAAAGAAAATCTGTCATTTCTCTTTATTTTATTTTCCCTCAGAATGTTTTAAAAATGAAGGGGTGTTCTTGCACAGTAAATTAAATTTTGTCTTTTAAGGCATACAGGACTAGTGTTTAGCTCGAACTTCCTTTGACACAGGTGGATGAAAATGCCTCAGGACAGGTTGCCAGACCTTGGTAGGTTAATCCCCAGCTATTAGCTGATACCCATCTCAATTACAAGCTTTAAGCATTAACCACTAGGCCACACCACCCCTATTTTTACCCAAAGCACTAATCACTAGGCCACACCACCCCTATTCTTACCCAAAGCATTAACCAATAGGCCACACCACCTCTATTCTTACCCAAAGCATTAACCAATAGGCCACACCACCCCTGTTCTTACCCAAAGCACTAACCACTGGACCAAACTACCCCTATTCTTACCCAAAGCACTAACCATTAGGCTACACCACCCCTATTCTTACTCAAAGTACTAACCACTAGGCCACACCACCCCTATTCTTGCCCAAAGCACTAACCACTAGGCCACACCACTCCTATTCTTGCCCAAAGTATTAACCATCAGGCTACACCACCCCTATTCTTACTCAAAGCACTAACTACTAGGCCACACCACCCCTATTCTTGTCCAAAGTACTAACCACTTGGCCACACCACCCATATTCTTGCACATAGCACTAACCACTAGGCCACACTTTGCACACAGCAAGCACAAACATCATGCCAAGTTCTCTTTTGCTAAAACATTGATCATCTACATTAACACCAAACTGCAAAGACTTTGAGATTATGAGTGTTCAGTACTTGGTTGTATGAAAAAAAACAAAAGAAGTATAACTTTAATCTTCCCACCTTTGTTGTAACATAACATAAGGCTTATAAAGTTTGTACTTCAGCTTATGAAAACACTGAATGTTTTGTTAAGGTTTCTCAGGTTGAAGACCATGCCATGCTGGCAGACAAGTAATCTATTACTTATAAATTAATTGAATTGTGAATGAGAAGCAGAGGTTTGTTTCTTTTATTTGACTGATTTTAGTAACATGTCATAATTAATTAATTTTAAATACAGTTACTTGGCAGTTAGTAGAAGATGTTTTATAGTTTATCAGTTATTTTCTCTACCCTATCTCAAAACAGGATTGGACAATTGAAATAAACCCAAATTACCCTTTTTTCTTTCTAGAATGACTTCAAATTGTAACATGAAACTACATTTGTTTATCCTAAGGAACTCTAAGTTTGTAACAGTATACATCTATTTATAATTAAATTTTACTGTATTATTGCCCTTTGAACTGTGTCTAACTACTATCTGCACCGTTATAAGTTGTAAATCACTCGGGGAACATGCAGCTCACGTTACACTAATGAATTACATTATCCACGAGCTTCTCATGTGTTGTATGGAACATTTTTATTATAATATTATTATTATTATTTATTTATTTTACCTAATCTAATATTAACAAACCTAAAAGGATTCCTATCTTTACATTTTAGTTACTTTTATAATTATACATAAAGAATAAACATTAAAAACAAGAAATAAAATACTTAATCAATCTTCTTTTTTCTTGCTGTCAGGTTTTGAAGAGAGTTAACCCTAATTTTTTATACTATAGATAGTATCACACTTAGTAATTTTTATTTAATTAAATAATGTACTAAACAATATAGACTAATAACATGCAAAAAGTAGACAAATTCACTTACTTCTCAAAATTTTCCTGGGTTTTTAACCATGCAACAAGAACCATTACAAATTCATCCAAGTTAGTTATTGGCTTTCCCACGGGAACAATGTTTGTACTGTGAGTGAAATTGACATTTAACCATTCAGGTAATATGTGATGAAATGTAAGAGAAAACTATCAACAAATTCTGAAAGAGAGGATGTGCTAGGAGGGGTCTGATTTTCTATTCGATAGCTCTGTAACCAAACAAAAGTAAAGGCTATAAAAATTATGGTTTTTCTGAGAAATAACGATTTTATAGAGAATAATTTATGTTTAATTTCATACTTTTTCGAGGGATGGTGCATAAAGTATTGATGATGACATGCTATGAGAAAATGGGTCACACTAGTAGAAATTCAGGTTTCTTTTTAATATTGCCTTGTAGAATTAAGAACTTAAATCTTATATACTATTAAAATATGGATTATTAACTAAGATTTTTATGCTATTCTAATTGGTATAACATAAACAAAATGTAATGTAATAAAATTTTTAATGTAAGACACTAAAACCTTGTGTCATGTGCAGTAAAGGATATTCATGGCGATAGGGTTAAATGGTCTGCCATCACCTGCTTCGTAACTACACATACTGTCCTGGCCGTATCAAAAGGTTAAATTGTCTGCCATCACCTGCTTCATAGCTATACATAGTGTCATGGTCGTATCAACAGGTTAAATGGTCTGCCATCACCTGCTTCGTAACTACACATACTGTCCTGGCCGTATCAATAGGTTAAATGGTCTGCCATCACCTGCTTCATAGCTATACATAGTGTCATGGTCGTATCAACAGGTTAAATGGTCTGCCATCACCTGGTTCGTAACTACACATACTGTCCAGGCCATATCAATAGGTTAAATGGTCTGCCATCACCTGCTTCATAACTATACGTAGTGTCATGGTCGTATCAACAGGTTAAATGGTGTGCCGTCACCTGCTTCATAACTACACATAGTGTCTTGGTCATATTAACAGGTTAAATGGTCTGCTCTTACCTTAATTCTTAACTACATGTTGTGGTACTTGGTTGGGGGTGGGGGGGGGATGCTGCAGCAAAAAGAATTAAATCAAGATAGTCAAGAACACTATTTTGTACATTTTCTGGTCTCCTTTCTTTTTTTTAACAACAATATGACAGCATGAAAAAAGAAATAAATCTATGAATTTACATTATATATTTATATGTTATACTTTTATTTACATTAGGATTATTATTATAAATACCAGAACTTTCTATTTTCACTCTGAAGTAGTCAAACTACTCAGTAAATTTTGAATTCTTTCTACTGTAAGCATTTTGTGATTTATTGACTTAACCAGTAACAGTACAGTCATATCAACAAATTCTTACTTAAAATTTGTTTTACATTTTTCGTGGTAATGATTTTAATATTTCAGAGTATAGAAGGTGGGTGATTTACCTGCCATCTTATGAAAACATTGTACCAGAAACCTAATTTTTGTTTTTTGCTACTTACGTGATGACTGGGACAGAGTGGTTTGCAACTTGATTAATGAAAATGATACTCAGTTCCTCCTAGTTATGTAATGACCAGGACAGAGTTTTTAACACTGGTTTAAAGTGATACATGGTCATTTTAATTATGTAATGACCAGAACAGAGTTTTAAAAGTGATACCTCGTCATTTTTAGTTATTTAATGACCAGGACAGATTTTTTAACACCGGTTTAAAGTGATACATGGTCGTTTTAATTATGTAATGACCAGAACAGAGTTTTAAAGTGATACCTCGTCATTTTTAGTTATTTAATGACCAGGACAGATTTTTTAACACTGGTTTAAAGTGATACATGGTCATTTTAATTATGTAATGACCAGGACAGAGTGGTTTGTATCTTGATATACCATACTGATATTTGGTTAGTAATCATTTTAACAGTGTGGATACTCTAAATTAGAGCTGGGTCATTTGTGGTAGGTTTTTTTATTGATCTTGTTCAACTACCATTAGTTTAATATGATAGACATCTTCAGATATAATAATTTAGGATTAAGTTTTATAATTCCAAATAGTTGTATGTAACAAGCTTAAAAAATTATTATTACCCTTCTCCGGTTTCTCCTAACAGATTTTTGACAACTAATAAACTAAATGAAGTTAAGAAGAAACACATGCTGACAAATCAATAAGTGAAACAACTTGTTTTCCCTTTTCAGTGTTTTCTATCTAGTTAAAGCTAGTTCTAATTAAACAGAAGTACTGTAACTATATTAACGACTTATCTGTTTTATGTGTTGTTTGACTGTTATTAGTCCAAGTCTGGCAAGTTATTCAGCAATCAAGTTTTTTTCTTAGTGAATAATAAATATTAACTTGTTGTAAATTTTTTCATTAAAGCAGTCTTACTCTTAGTAACACAGGTTAAGTTTGTAGCTTGCAATAAATAAGCAATAAAGTAAATTAAAGCTACATTGTTATTTAGTCCATCTAAGCATTGGTCTGATTTTTCTTTCTTGCTCCAGTCTTTCATTTCCCACTTAATTGCCCTTGGCGATATTTGTCTCGTAACACTTTCCACCGACATCAGTGTGTCCTCTATCCTGGTACTGTATATAAGCATCTCATTCAGATAATGTTGTCACTTTTTTTTTTAGACTGACTCAATCTTAGTGTTCATAATTCCAGACCAGATGGGTTCTGTTTCCTCAGGTTGAGTAAGGCATACGTGATCCTGCTATTTCGAGCCTAGGGTGTTGCCTTTCAAACTTCTTCAGGCTGAGGAGAAAGTTTGTCCACTTCAGTGTTGCTTACCTTCTCATCATAATTCAGGTGGCTCGAAATGCTTCACTCTATGGCTACAGGTTGGGATCCACTCATAAGTGTACATATATTGCAATTCAATTACCTCAGCCATCACCGTGAAATATAGGGACCATGGCCATATAATTCTAACCCCGAGTAGTGGAACCTCGGCTTTGATGATAAATCATGTAAAGTTCTACCCACAGTACATGAATTAAGTTCCAAGTGAAGGGCATACCTGTTCTGGATGCAGTGTGGTTTCCCCACTAGGGTGCAATTCTTCTATTAACACACCCATGAGCTATGCAGATGTTTTCTGTATGGATAATGACCTCACCATCACCCCACCCCTCCCACCTTATCAGTGTGGGATTCTAGCTGTAAGTGTGAGAGAAGGTAAGTATGTTTTGGAAGTTAACATTTTCTTAAGTTGAAAATATATTTCCAATAATACTTACCTCTTTTCACACTCTCCCACCCTTCCTCCCCACTAAGAGCCAGTGTTAAAGACTGTGGATTGAGTCAGTCTTGAAAAAGTGATAACATTATCTGAATGAGGTGCTTATATACAGTACCTGGACAGAGGGTGCATTGACACAGGTGGAGAGTGTCATGAGACAAATATCGCCAAGGACAGTTAAGTGGGGTATGAAAGACTGGAGCAAGAAAGAAAAAAATCAGATCAATGTTTAGATGGGCAAAGGATAAAACCCTGGCAGTCAAATAATAACTGTAGCATGAGAGAAGGTAAGTATTACTGGAAATACATTTTCAATTTAAGAAAATATTAACTTATGTGGCAATATTTTGTTTACACGGATAATTGGAATAATAAAAATAGTAATAATTGGAAACCCTAATTTTGATTAGTTAAACTAATTGATTAAGCTGAACAAATGTGAATTAACTAGAAATAAATGAGAAATCACAATAACGATATTTCAGTTACTTGAATAGTTGGAATAATAAAAAATAGTAATAATTGGAAACACTTATTTTGTTGCATGATCTTTTTTGTGATGTGAATCGAGTTTATTATCATTGCAGTTAATTGAAAAATTTAAATGACACTAATCAATGTAATTCCTCAGGTCTTGACTCTTTCATTGTAGAGCACCAAAATCTGTTTAGAGAACTTTCAGACAGGGAGAGGAACGTTTTTTGTGAAGTTAAATATCTTATGGCAAAAACCTGCAACTTTTTTAAAAATTATAGATATGAACATATGTAAACTACTAATCCACTATGTGCTGACAGGTGTAAAAACCTTCTTGACCGTTACTACTTCTCTTATTTTTAGATTATGACCAACTCTGATCAGTGGCATGTTGACAGTATTGACAATGCACTTGCTGCTGACTTTGAAGGAAGCCTTTCAGGTTTGGGAATGGAGTTAGGCACTGGTTCCTTCAACATGAGGTAAGTTGGAGTTAAAATCTGTTTCTCTAAGACCATAAGATAATCAACCAATTAAACAACACATAAGTCTTTAAACGCACATCTGATAAACTGAACAAAGAACATACATTTAGGATAATGAATGATGCATCTTATTGAGACATTGTTAAATTCAAACATACATGTTCTTTTTTTGTTTTTATCTAATCATATAAAGTGATCTTTAAATGCCTAACCACATTTAACATGCATAGTTGGAAGAAAACATGATTTATTGTGGTACAATTGACCAATTTGTCCTGATCAGATAGAGATGTAGTTACAGAATGTTGTTTTTGAATGAGAAATTTCTTTTGTTGTAGGAATATTAGATTACTTTTACACTGGAAAAAATTATTGCAGTTAAAAGTATGACTTTAAATATTAGAAATACACAAGTTGTAACCAGTATGACTTTAAATATTAGAAATACACAAGTTGTAACCAGTATGACTTTAAATATTAGAAATTCATCAGTTGTAACCAGTATAACTTCAAGTATTAGAAATTCATCAGTTGTAACCAGTATAACTTCAAGTATTAGAAATTCATCAGTTGTAACCGGTATGACTTTAAATATTAGAAATTTTTCAGTTGTACTCAGTATGACTTTAAATATTAGAAATACATCAGTTGTAACCAGTATGACTTTAAATATTAGACATACATCAGTTGTAACCACTATGACTTTAAATATTAGAAATTTATCAGTTGTAACCAGTATGACTTTAAATATAAGAAATACATCAGTTGTAACCAGTATGACGTTAAATATTAGAAATACATCAGTTGTAACCAGTATGACTTTAAATATTAGAAATTCAACATGGTAATTTTTTTCTGATCAAAGAAGACTAGTATAAAATTCTACTGTATGAAATTTCTTAATTATTTCAGCTGATAAATGCTCCAGTTCAAAATATGGAGTCTCTCAGAACACGGTATACACATACAGACTAGTTCAAGTGAACCTTTTTATTTTTCACGGCAAAGAAAGTGTACACTTCCAAGCATTGTTATACTCGACATTAGAGTTCACAAATTTCTAATATTTAAAGTCATACTGGTTACAACCGATGTTGTAAAAAATGTTTGTTTAGTACTTATAACTTACAATTTGGGACTCATAGCTTTATGTGTATTGTGTAATCTGTTTTAGATAAATAGTCAGTTATCATTACAAATAATCCAGCTTTATAATTGATAATCTGTTAACAAAGAGGTACGCTTTACTTGATTTTCTTCCATATTGTAGTGAAACGTTGATGGCTTTACCAACCCTAAACAGTTTGAAACAAGAACATGAGTCAAATGGGTAAGTACAAAATGTAATGTTTAAAACTGTTGTATGCATACTAGAAACTCTAAACTTTAATGTTCAGAATTAATGTACAAGATGTTTATAAGTATAGAATTGTGGATACTGACATGCTAATTGTAAGGTGATCCTGACATTAAATGCTCCTGTGATCTCGAACAGAAATGTAACAGTTTGTAAGTTGTATCGTAGTTAAATCATTCGTCTAGTCTCAAAGAGTCACTATAACAGTTTTTAAGTTGTATCATGACACTATCTACACACACTCCTGGGATTTTAGAAAGTCACTATAACAGTTTGTAACTTGTTTCATAGCAGTATCTACACACACACACACTCCTGGGATCTTAGAAAGTCACTATAACAGTTTGTAACTTGTTTCATAGCAGTATCTACACACACACACACTCCTGGGATCTTAGAAAGTCACTATAACAGTTTGTAACTTGTTTCATAGCAGTATCTACACACACACTCCTGGGATCTTAGAAAGTCACTATAACAGTTTGTAACTTGTTTCA